TTTCCAAAATGACAAGTGCGAGGAAAATCAAACTCGACGAAGTTCGAGAGGACGAGCAACAATGTCAACCTGATAAAACTGACAATCTAAGTGCTTTGGAAGCAGCTGGAAAGATTGGTCAAAATCAAACAGACAATGTAAATGCTCAACCTATTACCCTTCGTAGGTCGCAACGGCAAAGATCTCAACCAGACAGATACCTTGGTATTGTCTTAACCGATGATCAAGACATCCTAGTTATGGATGGAGATGAGCCAGCGACATACAAACAAGCTATGACGAGCCTCGACTCTGCTAAATGGCAAGAGGCCATGAAATCCGAGATGGACTCTATGTCTGAAAATCAAGTTTGGGACTTGGTGAATTTGCCCGAGGGTTACACACCCATTGGTTGCAAATGGATCTTCAAATTGAAAGACAGACAAGGATGGAAATGTATCGATATACAAGGCTAGGCTGGTGGCAAAAGGTTATAGACAAATCCACGGGATAGACTATGATGAAACTTTTTCACCGGTCGCAATGCTAAAGTCTATCCAGATTATTCTAGTAATTGCTGCATATTACGATTATGAAATATGGCAGATGGATGTCAAAACCGCCTTCCTAAATGGGATTTTGGAAGAAACTGTGTACATGACACAGCTAGAAGGTTTTGTCAATCCGAGCAATGCTGGAAAGGTTTGCAAGCTTAAGAAGTCTATTTATGGACTAAAGCAAGACAACAGGAGTTGGAATCTGCGATTTGAAGAAGCCATCAGCAAGTTTGACTTTATCAAGAATCTAGATGAATCTTGTGTATACAAGAAGGTCAGTGGGAGTGACATCGCATTCCTAGTCCTATATGTCGATGACATACTGCTTATTGGAAACAACACAAAATTACTGGAGTCCGTAAAGGGCTGGTTGGGAAAGTGCTTTTCAATGAAGGACTTAGGAGAGGCATAGTACATATTGGGCATCAAGATCTACAGGGATAGATTTAAGAGGATGATTGGATTGAGCCAGAGTACTTACATTGATAAAGTACTGGCACGATTCAACATGGAGAATGCCAAGAGAGGGCATCTACCCATGACCCATGGCGTAACTCTCAGCAAGAAACAGTGTCCATAGACACCTGTTGAGCGAGAGAGAATGGATTAGATTCCATATGTTTCGCTAATTGGGTCGATCATGTATGCCATGATATGTACCAGGCCAGATGTCTCGTATGCCTTGAGTGCTACGAGCCGATACCAATCAAACCCAGGAGAGGAGCATTGGACTGCGGCTAAGAATATCCTGAAGTACCTGAAAAGAAACAAGGATAAATTCCTAGTTTATGGTGGCCACAAAGATCTGGTTGTTGAAGGTTACACCGACGCTAGCTTCCAGACTGACAAAAACGACTTCAAGTCACAGTCAGGGTACATATTTTGCCTAAATAGAGGAGCATTTAGCTGGAAGAGTGCCAAGAAGAGCACAACTGCAGACTCTACAACTAAAGCCGAATACTTGGCTGCTTCAGAAGCTTCTAAGGAGCCTGTTTGGATTCGGAAGTTCGTCAGTGAACTTGGTGTTAAACCCTCCATCAAGGGACCGATAGATCTCTACTGTGACAACAATGGAGCTATCACTCAGGCCAGGGAGCCAAGAGAACACCAGAAGGTCAAACATGTACAAAGGCGATTTCACATGATAAGGGAATGGAAATCCGAAGGTGAAATCAGAATTTGTAAGATCGGCATGGATGATAATGTAGCCGATCCTTTGACTAAACCTTTGCCTCAAGTGAAACACAACAAGCACGTTGAGGCAATGGGAATCAAGCACGTTGGAGATTTGCTTTGAAATTCCCTGTACATGTGTTTTAATTAAACTGGTTGTTTTAATGTAAGACACTATATTGAAACCATTCATTAATGGAGTAATTAATTTTTGTGCAAAATTATCATTCACTCCATTGCTATTTAATTGTGGTTTAGAATTAAATAATGAGTCCATTCGATTTATGGAAATATTCAAAACAGGGTATCGAGACCATGTCTTCGATAAAGAAACACATATTAAGTGAACATTGAATATTTAAATCGAAAGTTATCCCTAATCGAGGTCATCTAACTGATGGACGATTGATGACCACCAGAGATTAGTGTGTAGTATGATTTACAGCACCGTTTCTTGTGCTGCAAGGACATGATGATCATAAATCATTTGCACAGGTGCCAGTTTGGAACTGCACTAGATCGACCTATGAGAGTACTTTAAGATATTCAAATTGTCATAAGTACATTTCTCATTATAGCTATCGGAACTCGTTTCCTCGACCATGAGTATTGTGAAGTTTTCTTGTTCGAGAACTAGTCTCTTTGATGTTGCCTAATGTCTGTCGTAACTGGGGATCATAACGGGAACACTCGGGAGATTAGGTCCTCTTAGTAAGAGAAACTTACAATGTAAGACTGGGAATGTCCCCCTATTAACAATAGGGAATATGTCTGTTGTTTACAAGGCCGCTCGATGAGCGAGACTGTGAAAATGCATGGTCGTGCTCATATGGATTTTAGAAATCATCTGCTTATTGACAGTCGAACTCGGAGATCAAGAAACACTTCTGAACGTAATAAGGATGACGATGAATCTTACCTTATAGTTCACGAAGAGACATTAAGCGACATAGGAAATGGGTTATACACTATATGCACACTTGTCCGGAAGGACAAGTAGGAGATTGAAAGGAATGGTGTCCTTCCAACAAGTGTATTATTCTGATAGAGGGTTCAGAATTATTATAGAGTTAATTCTTCAGTAAGGTCAAGTGATCAGAATGCCTAGGTGGAGGCCGCTTCCGATCAGTAATATTAAGGTACAATTAATATTACACCTTAATCTTAACTGAACCCTTCGAGTCGAACCCAATCGAACAACCGATCCGAGACGACGAATTAATCCGAAGGATTTAATGAGTCGACAAAGATTTAGGAATACAGACGTCGGATATCGAGCCTAGGGCGTCGAGACCGAGCGTCGCAAAATCACAAGCAACAAGTATGAGCGCAGCCATAGCTAGGCTAGGCTAGCTCATTGCAAGCCTATGCGCACCATGTGTGTTCTAGGCGCACCATGGTATGCTAGGCGAGGCATGAGTGCCTAGGCGCCATCGCAGACCTAGCATGATGCCTAGGCGCCATCGCAGCCCTAGCACCATGCCTAGGCGCGCATGGCAGGCCACACGCACCAAGCACAGCCATCGCAGTGCTGGGCACTTGCGCATACGCGTGTGCGTGCATGCCTCGCACCATCGCAGCCCTATTGCACCAAGCACAGCACCCATGTGTGTGTGCATGTGCGTGGGCACTATCGCTGCACCCTAGCACCTCGCACAACACCATCGCAGTGCTAGGCACATGCGTGTGTGCGTGTGCACCATCGCCCAGCAGCCTCGCAATGCAGCACCGAGCTGTGTGCTTACGTGCGTGCCTTCGCATCGCAACACCAAGCACAGCGAGCTAGCAAGCAGCCCTAGCCTTGCGTGTGTGCGTGTGTGTAGGCACCATCGCATGCCACGCACCAAGCACGTGTGCGTGTGCGGGTGCTAGTGCATGCTGGCCTGGCTGTGCGTAGCTATACGAGAGGCGATGCCCAACATGCGTGGCTCGCTAGCAGCACGCATGCTGGGTAGGCGTATGCATGTGCGTGCGATAGGGAGTGCTAGGCAGCCAGCAGCGCCCAACGCCGCAGCATGGGCATCACCTAGCACAGCAGCATGCAACGCGCATGGCTGGCTGGGCTGATGCTTGTTGCGTTGTGCTGGTTGGCTGGGCTAGCTGGTAGTGCTAGCTGGCATGCTTGCTAGCAGCAGCCCAGCAGCCCCTTGATGCCGGTTATGTAAGGGGTGGGGACCAAGGCTTGGGCAAAGCCTTGGGGAGCAAGGCAATGGTCCCCCCCCCCCCACCTATTCATGGTCCTCACCTAACTCTCTCTCTCCCCTTGACACTTGTTGCATTGTGATAGATTTAATTATTTATTTAATTTGGAATTAAATAAATTGTTGAATTTACCAACTCTCCCACATTGATGGGAGATTGGAAATCAAGGGTGCCTTTCCCTATAAATACCAAAGGCATGAGTATTGGGAAAGACACAACCTTGAGTGGAATTAAAAGGCAACTCTTGATTTGAGTAAACCTTGATTCGTAAAACTCATAGTTTTATTTGTCCGGGTCTTGACTAACCTTCGAGACTTAGGACGCTCGGGTCGGGTTCGAGGGTACGATCCCGTTGGAGACCTCGTATTTTTGAGGTTCAAGTAAGAGCTCATAGTTGAGCGAAGCACGCGTCAAAGGTATAATCTTTTATCCTTTCTTGTGTTTTAATTATGTTTTGCTTGTTAATTGCATTTATTATGGGGGCGGGTCTTGGCGGGTTTCTTTCCGCGTAGTGAGGGTCACTACGAAACCCAACAAAACCTTTTTCAGGCTACTTAATAGCTCAGTCTCTGACTCTCCGGTCTAAATTACTTCATAGGATGTCTCATCACTATTAGTATATTATGAACTAATGAATTATGAAGTATGCACTTATGAAAATATGCTTGTATCTATCTACTACTCAAGTAAACAACTAAACTAATGTAATAAATGAATATTACTTTTTGATTGAATATAAGATCATTATCGTGCATTATATATTGATGTTTATATTTATAAAAACAAAAACTTATTCAGTTATAAACTTATAATGACTGAGTGTTGGGTAATTGGTGCACAACACAATATGATACTTCCTCCGTTTCTTTTTAGTTGACACGTTTCTTTAGTCATGTATGCTAATGCATAACTTCAGCCATTCATATCCTTAATCACCGATAATAAAAAATTATGAAAAGTTGATATTTTGAAAATAAATATCGTAACGAATTTTACAAGATCCTACATAACTATATTTTTCATTACATATAAAACACAAAATATGGTTAAAGAGGAGTGTGTGAATAAAGTCAAAACGTGTCAACTTAAAAAACGGAGGTATTATTAATTAAGTGAAATATTCTCTTATTCAGATATAAGATTACGACCACACTTGTTGATGAATTAAAAACTTTCAAAATTTCAATTTTGACCAAGATACAACTTAGAAGTGAAAATTTAAGAGGGAAATAAAAATAAAACATTTAATTTGGTTAAAAATTGTGGGAAACCCCCAAATGACTAAAACTCCAAAATTGTTAGGGGGAAATCTCCCTCCAAATTTCCAAGAGTAAAACGTAAAAGTAAAGTAGTAAACTAGTAAAGTGACTAAATTCTAAAATACAAAAAACAAAAATAAAAGTAAAACAATAAAAAAAAAAAAAAAAAAAAAAAAAAAAAAAAAAAAACCTACTCATCTTCCTTAGCCGTTTTCACTCTCTTTTGTCTTCACTCTTCTGACTTCTCAAATCTTATGCTACTCATCTGATCTCAAGCGCTCTGGCAAGGCAAGGTTTCCCTCTTTCTATCTTCCTCTTCTTTATTGCAGTTTTTTGTTTCAAATTTTATGATTTTCTTCAAGTTCTGTGATTTATTGATGTTAATTTGATACTTTGAGATTAGGTTTTGATTTTGCGGTTTTTTTTCACTTATACGAAGCCAATTCATGAGCTTCCTGTACTCGAGGTGCGCTTAATTTGATTTGCATGTGGTTCTCCATTCCCTCAGTTGAAGCGCGCCTTCTGAGCTTTCTCTCCTCCATTGAAGCCGACCTTTGAGGTAAAGATTTTCTTTTTAGATTATTGAATATCAATTAATTTCTCAATTTAGTTCTGAATTTCAGATTATCAGATTTAAGCTTTTTGAAAAGATAGCCAATTTAGGGTTCTTGAGACATTACGTTAAGGTAGCCCCAATAAAATCAACTGTTGATAAATTCCAATTCATTCCTGTGTTTTTGAAGTCACACTTTGGTTACTTTAATTATCAGTGTAGTCAATGTATGGTTACTTTCCATCATGTAGTCATACAGTCACGCAGTTATACCTCCATCTCAATTAGTTTGATAATCCTGTTATGTATACATTTTAAGTTGTACATTGTTGTTTACTTGTTTAATGAGTAAAAGCTTCCATGCTTTATTTATCTGATATGATGCACAGCCATGATATATGTTGTTTGGCTAGCATATTGTTCTTTATGTGTCATACACTCATACATGTCCTTTTTGAAAAGATGTTATTGCATTTAGGACTCATCTAACTGCCTGTTTGATTGAAAATCGGTATCACCTGTTTGTCCTTATATTTCTCATTTAGGTTGACCTCTTTGTACCATTTGCTAAAATTTATCTTAACTTGGACATCATTAATGAAAGAATTTAAGGGATGAGGAAGATGATTTTGTTTACTAAATTGTAATTGCAGAAAACTATATGATATTCAAGCTTTCAAGATTTCCACCCTGATATGAAGTATGCCTAATAATACCAGCCTCTCAGATTTCCACCCTGCACTCTCAGCTTTGATAATTTCTTAACGATGATATTATTGAAATTATCTCACAATTGCTGCCCAAAATACTTACTGATTACTTATTATCAATTTTTGAATGTATATAAAAACAGAAGGTTGATTTTCCCTTTTTCATTAGTTTAAATATTATTATTGATGTTATTCTTGCTTTTTTTGCAACAATGGATGATCATATTATTTACGACGAGCCTATTATTCACCAGAGGGAATAGAGGATGAGTGTGGATGAGTGTACACCAGAGGAAGAAGCCAATGTTCGTACACAAGAGGAAGAAGTCGTTGATCCTGAACTTACAGTTGACAACAACAATGTGAGCACTATGGAATCTGGATTTCAAGCTGTAGGAAAGAAACGGAGTCTAGTTTGGCCGGAATTCCTCACGTTTGACAAGACGGAATCTAGTGATGGGAAACAGAGGTCAATTTGCAAACATTTCCAAAAAGCATCCTTCATAACCAACCCCAATTATGGAAATGGTACAAAGAGGTAAAGACAGCAAAAGCTATGGCCGCCTCCAACTGTGATAAGGCAATGTTTCAAATTGCCCAAAATGAAGTTCTGACCATTGATATTCTTTATTAATCCGCCGCTGTTCGGGCTCAGTTAGAGGCGGCCCAGAAGAGGAATGGCGAGCTGGAGGCAACCATTACAAATCTCAAGGCCGAGCTGAAACCTCTTCGCCTAAAGATGTACTCATACGAAGCCTTGGAGAAATCCTTGGCCAACGTAAAGGAACGCCTGGTGACCCAGGAGAAGAGTCTTACTCAGGAGCTCTCGGAAAAGGCCGAGCAAGAGAAGAAAGAGCTGGTCCGGGAGATGATGGAAGACTCCGCTCAAATCCAGCGCATGACTTGGGGCCGCCTCTTCCCCAATGCCGACTTTGCCTCATGGGAAAAAACGTACCGCCAGTGTTCTGATACATATAATCAAGAGATCCTGGCGGCTGCTGAGGAAGAGGCGTTGGAGGAGGAGGAGCCGGTAGTGGCGCTTGTGCCGCTTGGGGGTAATGCATCAAAAAAGGATGCAGCTGAAGCCGAGTCCAGCAAGAAGAGTGCTGACCAGGCGGCAGCTGCTAATATTGAAGATCTGCCCCCTTCTTAAGCTTTATGTATTCTTTCCACGGCCTGCGTGCCGTTTGTTTTGTATTTACCCGGCCAGGGGGCCGGGGCTTTGAATATTTTGCCGGTCTTTAATGACCGGCTTCTTTTTAATGAATTTTTGTTTTGCTTCAAATTTGTCTAAGTATTGAATATTCTAATATCCAATTGTTCACTAGACCGACTGTTTTACATGGCCGATAGTTGCAGACAGGTACGGATAGTTAGTCACGCCGCCTATGCCCCTGGACGACTGGTTGTCTGTTTCCAGGATAGACGATCAGTCGGCCATTTATTCAATCGGTATTCGAACTATTTTAAAGACTGGATCCTTTTTAGGCAGGCGGTCCTGTCATTTGTAAATTTAACCAAGTAGGAAAGTGGTCTGACCAAGTGAACATGAGTGTTACTTAGTTGCCAAGGAACTGAGTAGTAGAGGTATCAAGCAGTGGGTACCGGTTGTTCCCCTTTATTCGCCAATGTTTGTTGGCTTTTAACTCATAAGTTGTTAACCTAGCAGGAGTAGTGGTTGAGAGCCCCTGTTTGCGAAAAACAGGCGGACGACTCATACCTTTTAGGCTCCATACTAAGTTTGAGGGAGTGACTATAAGTTAACATAGGAGTTACTTAGTCTCCGTCACACTCTAGATTGAGTAGTAGAGGTACCAGGCGGCGGAGGCCGGCTGATCCCCTTGATTCGCCAATGTTTGTTGGCTTTTAACTCAATAGGTTACCTAGTAGGAATAGGGGTTTGAGTGCCCCTGTTTGCCAAAAAACAGGCGGTCTACTCAAACCTTTTAGGTTCCATACCAAATTTGAGGGAGTGACTATGAGTTAACGTTGGAGTTACTCAGTCGCCGTCACTCTTGCTTGAGAAGTAGAGGTACTAGGCGGCGGAGGCCGGCTAGACCCCTTGATTCGCCAATGTTGGTTGGCTATTAACTCAAGAGGTACCCCCTGCATTTATCCCAAGTAATACAGGCGGTCATCTGACTCAGATGTCAACTGCTACCACTGGTTTGGTTAGTGATAGAGTTATCCTTGTCTCAAAAACGGCTACGTGGTTGCCCTTGGGGACAGTCGTATAGGTGCCGTGTAATTAGTTTATGGAGGAATGTTCCACCCAAAAGGGAGCTGCTCTCTGCGACGAATTTCATCCGGAGGGATGCCGCCGGACGCCTGCTATGATGTTGGGATAGGTCGTATTAGTTTTGAAGATTGGATCAGTTGGCTTGGCGCCTGGTCTGATCATTCGGCCTGTGGCCTTGGTTAGTTCTTGGTGAACGTAGATGCTAAGTAAGAGGAGGGTAGCCGCCTGTTTAGGCACAGGGTCGGCCAGGCCCTAATCTTTTTTAGCTAAGTATAAGGGTGTGGCTGTGTGTTTGGAACCAGTCGGCCCTCTTCTATGGAGAGTAGCCGTCTATATGTCCAGACAGCATGCCCCTATGTTGAGTAAAATATTCAATGGAGAGTAGCCGACTGTTAAGGTACAGACGGCATGCCCCTCTGAAGAGAGTAAAATAATCAATAGAGAGTAGCCGACTGTAAAGGTACAGACGACATGCCCCTCTGAAGAGTAAAAAACTCAATGGAGAGTAGCCGACTGTAAAGGTACAGACGACATGCCCCTCTGAAGAGAGTAAAATACTCAATGGAGAGTAGCCGACTGTAAAGGTACAGACGGCATGCCCCTCTTAAGTAAGAATAAAAATTAAACTTGGAGAGTAGCCGACTGTTTGTCAGTAGGCGTGCCCCTCTTAGTACAAAATTGAATAGTAAGTATGCAAACTTTTATTAAGTAGCTCTTGACTATTTACATCATTCAAAAGAAATATTTCTTAAGATTGTCTACATTCCAAGTTCGAGGCAACGGTCGTCCGTCTGGTGTTTCCAGACGGTAGGTACCGTCCCTGACCTCTACACAGATTCGGTAGGGTCCTTCCCAGTTGGGAGTTAGTTTGCCAGACTCATTAGCCCTACCAACTGCTTCCATTTTTCTAAGTACAAAGTCCCCCACTTTGAGTGGACGCCTGTGTACTTTTTTGTTGTATGATCTAGTCATTCTCAGGCGGTAAATTTCATGGCGCAAGACAGCATTGCCCCTCCTTTCAGGAAGTGAGTCTAATGTCAGGCGCATGGCTTCCCAGTTTGCCTCTTCGTCATATAGCATTACTCGAAGAGTCGGCTCGTAGTGTTCTATTGGAAGAACAGCTTTCGCACCGTAAGTTAGGAGGAATGGAGTTTCTCCAGTCGCACCTTTTTCAGTCGTCCTAATGGCCCACAGAACATGTGGTAGTTCATCCGCCCATAGGCCGCCTGCTCGTTCAATCTTTTTCTTGAGACCGTCTGAGATGATTTTATTAAAAGCTTCTACCTGGTCGTTTGCTTGTGGACGGCCGACAGATGCAAAGTAGTTTGCAATTCCTTGGTCACCCAACCAGCTTTTGAGAACAGGCGTCTCAAATTGGGGACCATTATCAAAAACCATAGACATGGGAACCCCGAACCGAGTGATGACATTTTTCCAAATGAATGAAATTACATCTTTCGTCTTGATTCCCTTTACAGCCTCCGCCTCTACCCATTTAGTGAAGTAGTCGACGGCAACAAGTATGTACCTCCTTCCGCCTGTAGCAGGCGTATATGGACCCAGAATATCCATGCCCCACTTAGCAAACGGTAGTGGGCTATGAATAGTAGTGAGGTCAGTAGCCGGACGGTGAATTAGCTTGCCAAACCTTTGGCACTTGTCACATTTTTTCACCTTCTCCATTGCATCTGCTTCTAAAGTAGGCCAAAAGTAGCCCTGCCGCCTTGCCCGTTGAGCAAGCGTCCTACCGCCTATATGAGAAGCACAGTAACCAGAGTGAATATCATCTAGTATCTCTCGTCCCTTTTCTGGAGTAACACACTTTAAGAAAGGTTGAAGGTACCCCTTTTTGTGAAGTTCTCCTTTTATTATTTCAAAACTGGTGGCTCGTTTTTTCAGTGCTGCCGCCTGTTGATGATCATCCGGCAGGGTACCGTTTGCCAGATATGCTCTGATTGGATCCATCCAGGTTAAGCTTCTGTCTAGGATTCCAATAGGGTCTTCCTCGATGCTTCTCTTCTCCACTACTTCCCAAAAAACAGTTCGAGGAGTATCAGAGGAGGCGGATGATGCTAATTTTGACAGTGCATCCGCCTGGTACATATACCTTCCAGACTTGGTCTGGAACTTGAGAGTCAGGAGGACGAGTCATCTCAACAATAAAGTCAGCAAAGGCTTGCCCCTTCACTGCTTTTCTAGGCTCGAAAGTAACTTCGAGGCTCTGTATTTCTATGGCCCATTTGATCATTCGGCCTGACGACTCCATGATGGTCAGTGGCCGCTTGATAGGTTGGTCTGTATACACGACGACTGCATGTGCCAAAAAGTAGGGCTTCAGTTTTCTAACAGCCATGAAGAGTGCAAGACCAAATTTCTCCACTAGGGGATACCTCAACTCGGCATTTTTCAGTATATGACTGACAAAGTAGACCGGGAGCTGACAGCCGTCTCTTTCAGCAAGGAGAACAGCGCTTAACGCATGATCAGAGACGGCCAGGTACATGTAGAGTACTTCTTTGGGCAAAGGGCTGACCAGCCTCGGCAAGGCATGCAAGTGAACTTTCAATTTCTGGAAGGCGGCCTCAGCATCCGCCCCCATTCAAACCTTGCCTTTTTCTTAATTGCCTGGAAAAAGTATAAGCATTTGTCGCCTGATCGGCTTAGAAATCTCCCCAAGGCCGCCAGACAACCTGTTAACTTCTGAACCTCTCGGATGGTACGAGGCGACTGCATGTCAATGACCGCCTGCACCTTCTCAGGGTTCGCCTCTATTCCTCTCTGATTGATAAGGAATCCGAGAAATTTCCCAGACTCAATTCCAAATACACATTTCTTGGGATTGAGCATGACATGGTGCCGCATGAGTGTGGCGAAAGTTTCTCGGAGGTCCGATAGATGATCTTTCTGAAGTTTAGTCTTGACAATCATATCATCAATGTATGCCTCGACGTTTCTCCCAATCTGATCAAAGAACACAGTGTTTATCATTCGCTGGAAGGTAGCCGGGGCATTCTTAAGACCAAACGGCATAACCGTGTAACAGAATAACCCCTGATCAGTGACGAAGGCCGTCTTCTCCTGATCTTTCTTCCATAAAGGAATTTGATGGAAACCAGAGTAGGCGTCCATAAAGTTCATCAAAGCATGGCCGGCTGTTGAGTCGACCAGATTATCAATTTTAGGTAGAGGGTAACTGTCTTTTGGGCACGCCTTGTTTAAGTCTGTGTAGTCTACACACATTCGCCATGTGCCATTCGGCTTTTTAACAAGCACCACATTTGC